TCTTAGAAATCTGACTTTTCTCAAAATTCTGACTTTAATCTCAAAATTCTGACTTTAATCTTAGAAATCTGACTTTTCTCAAAATTCTGACTTTAATCTCAAAATTCTGACTTTAATCTTAGAAATCTGACTTTTCTCAGAATTCTGACTTTTATCTCAAAATTCTGACTTTAATCTCAAAATTCTGACTTTAATCTTAGAAATCTGAATTTTCTCAGAATTCTGACTTTTTTCTCAGAATTCTGACTAAATTCTGACAATATAAAAAGTCAGAATTCTTAGATTAAAGTCACAATTTTGAGATTAAAGTCAGAATTCTGACTTTTTTCCCATACTAAACTGAAATAAAATTTTAAAATCAGTTAACTTTTTTTATTTTCCAGTGGCCCTAATGCTCTTCCGTAGGATAGAGCACGTTGACAGATGAAAACGTTTTTTTCATCTTAAATGCACAATTTTTTATTTTATTTTTTAATTTTGGTATCATTACTGCTCGGAGTGGGTTGCTCTGTCCACATAAGTCATGTTTTACAGTCCCTATATTTCAGTTAACGATAAATTGATTACTAAATTAGTTGACGATTCAATAATCGATTAATCACGATTAAATGTTTCAGCCCTAATATCAATGCTGGAAAACTGAAAAATCTCAGCATTTTAGGGCCTTGTCCACACCAAGAGGGCAGGATATGTTTTCATAAACAAATTAGATAAACTACACGTGAAGATCCTTTGTGCGAGCCTTTATGATTCACACAAAGGATTATGGGGATTAATATAGCTTCAAAGCACCAGATAGCGACGCTGGAACTTCTCTGTGCTAAACTATTGATAGGCATCCTGCTTCCTTTTCCTTCCTCCTTCCTTACTTTCAGAGCTATTTCCACAGCACTTATGGACTAAAACACTGTTCTGGCTTCATTTAATTTGTTGTAGGTAAAACACAAAGTCTTTTTAAGCCTAAGTGAACCTTTTGACACCCCAACTAAAATGTTTAAAAATCCTAAAAACAGTTTGTAAAATATTGATTAACAATGATTCCATATTTAGATCAATTTCAGCCAACAAATTGAAAATCTTTCTAGGTCAAATGGAGCCAAGCTGCTCTGAATAATTTTACCTCATATTCAGGTTCAGTGTCTGCAGACTTTGGGGACGTTTTTTCCTCTCCTTCGATGGCGACGGGCTCAGGGGTGGTTGCCACAGGGGGGGAGGCTGGGTCAGTAGGTTGCTGCTGTTGCTGTGGTGGCTGCTTATGTTGCTGTTGCTGCAGCGGAGACGGTTGTGATTGCTGTTGATACTGAGGCTGGGACAGAGGCTGGCTGTGTGGCTGAGGCTGAGGTTGTTGCTTTGAAGGCTGTGGGTGTTTAATTAGTGAGACCTCCTCTTTCTGGGTTTCTGTCTCGTTCTTCTCCAGGTCCTTCATTATGTTGAGCTCTGACATTAGCTTGGCTTTCTTCTCTGCCTAAAACAAAACCAAAACAAAAGAGAACTTAAGATACAATGCACAACTATTGAAGTTGGCAGTAAAATATCAGCAATGAACCTTTTATAGCAAAGTGTCTTAAAACCCTTGTAAAAGAGATCAGTGGTCCTTAATAGAGCATTAATACAACTTCTTTTCCATCTAGCATTTTAATGGGATTTCCTCTAGTAGCCCAAAATCATGTAGAGCATAATTGTGATGTGGAGGGAAAACTAAATGTTTTCTTTTGCACGAACAAATAAAACTGAAAAGTGAGATATGCTTCTCTGCTAAGCTTACTTTACTCTGAAACCTTTAAATAAACTCTATGCAACCAATTACCTTTAATAATCTCATTAGAATATGTGGTCCGTTTGTGGTAATTTAGTCTTACTATAAATTCAGCTGTTCTGTGAAGAGCTAAGTTGTAAAATGACATTAGAGACCAAAAAGCAAACTTGGAAGAAAGAAAGAAAAGTTGCTGTTTAAAGCAGGTTTTAAATTATACACATATTCCAAGAGCTGGGTTATAAAATGTAGTATAGAAGCACTTTTTAAAGAATTGAAAGAGAATTGTCCAACTGTAAGCCTAACTAGAAATGGCCACAAACGTCGGCCCAATCTACATGAGATCAAGTATAACCACAAAGGTATTTGTCGTTTAAGCTGTGCATCAAAACAAATGTGGCAGCTGGGAGGGCATAAATGTATTAGATTTATTTAGCCTTTATTTAACCAGGTAAACCCCGTTGAGATCTGGATCTCACTTTCAAGGGGGACCTGGGCAGAGATCTGCAATACATTGCAACCTGGTTACAAAAATAAAACAAATTAATAAATATGCACAAATATAAAACAATAAAAACTATTTAAAAGCAGTGACACTGTTTCATAGAAGCTTGTTGTCTATTTTTAAGAACCGCTTGAAATAAGTCCAATGA